ACTGTTGCAAATTAAACTGAGATACACCTCCAGAAACAGTAAGTGATCATGCACTGGATGCTCCAAAATGTTGGAAAAAAATGCTGTGAAAGACATTGGGCCAAATGATGAAACTGAATAGACTGTGGATTAGAAAGCTGTGTCAGTATTAAGATTCTTTGTATCATGGCTATTTAAGGGTATGTCTTTGCTCTTAGGAAATCTACACTAAAATAAATAGGGGCAAGAGGACACATCTGCAACTCACTCTCAAATGGATAGAAAAGTGTTGTTTCTCGTTATTCTCAAGAGTTCTATAGTCACTGGAACCCCTGAATTAGCAAATACTGAACCACTGCTGCTAGGGAAAATACAGGGTTAGGTTTCTGTGAGCCTCTGGTCACATTTTTGTCAACCAACCAATACATAACCTTGTTTACATGTGTTTATGTTTAAAGACACCTTACTTAAAAACATACTGTTGATTCATTAACATTGAACTCATGGCCTACAACAGCACAGTAACTCATGCCTGAATGAAGCTTATCTAACATGTTTATTTCCTCCACCATAAGGCACATCACAGCCTTCTTGCACTTAGGAACACCAGGCAGTACTTCAACATTATGTTTGGGGGCCATTTTAAACCGCAAAATCACCACCAAAAAGCACAAAAACGTGGCCTTGATAGATGTGAGAAGCATACGTGTTTATAGTATGAGAGCCGAAACAAGAAGACAGAGTACTGCCTTGTCTGACCTGAGCTAGACCCTTGCATGTCCGGTGATTCAAATTCTTCACTACTGGCACGTGTCCACAAGTGACAACAGTGCAGTGAGTACTGATTTTGGAGTTACAAATAAATTCTAGCAAGTAGCTGAATTCCCAAGTATGAAATCCATGAACAAAGGGGATCGACTGTATTTAGAGATTAAGTGTACAACCGGTAGAGCAGATGGGGCAAAATGTTAACTGCTGAATTTGTGTAAACGGCGTTAAGGGGTCCTTTGTACTATTCTTGCTTTTAGTTTTAAAAATCAAAATAAAAAGTTACGAAGAATGATTAAAAGGACCTTGTAAACTGGACTATATAAAACACAAGTTATTTCTTCACTGAGATGACCTAAAAGTAAATTCCAAGTATTAAGTACTCAATAGTCTTAAAGTTTAAACCAAGACCATCTGAGGATTTAGTAGATAAATCGGCAATTTATTCTGGAGGCATCAATGAGAAGGGACAAAATAGTTTTAACTATGGGAATAAAGTTAAAATGAGCTATATTAACATTTTAATGGTACCCAACAAACAGATTAACACCTAAATTTTGCTACAGGCAAATAAAGTAGATTTTGAGGGTTAGCAACTAAAATGAAGTAGTTTCATGAAGCTGCCCCATTTTACCTTAATATGGAATGTTAGGTACACAATCACTAACCTTAAGAACTGAGATTTCCAACTACACACACAAATTACTCTAAAATCCAATCACAATTCTTGGCACCTTCAGTAAAAAGATGTTTCAGTGTTGATTTTAAGAATAAAGCATTATTATCTGCAGCATTCTACCCTGTCTTCTCACTACCAATAGATTATCTCATTCGCTCCTTCAGTTTTTATGTCTATATTCAAATGCATTCTAGATCTCCCTCTGGTCCAGATCTCTTGATTGATGTACCAGTCCTATTCCCAACTATCTACTAGGTATCTTCACTTGAGAAAATTGCCATCTCTTCTAATAGACTGTGAGCTGTTAAAAACTCAGGGCTGTCTTGGTCACTTCTGAATTCCCTGTACTTGGCACAGCTAGCCAGTGCAATTTGGAATGTGCACTATGATGCTAAGATAGCTTAATTTCCACAAACTCTTCTGCATACAAATGTTTACCTGTGAAAAACTTATACAACTGGGGTGATACATGGCCAGGTGAAATAGAAAATCTTGGATTTAAGTATCAGCTGTAACAATGAGTTATACTCTGCCTAGTCACTTCATTATGAGGGACTTGGATCTCATGGTCTCTCACCACAACCATTTTACTCCTCCACTTGTGCTTAAGTCATCTAATCATGAGTCAGATGCTTTGACTCAGGTCTTGGGTGGTATTGACATCAACTAAATACTGCTCTTAAGACTTGATACATTCGTATCACGTTCTCAGTTTAGAACACAAACATTTCTACTTTGTAATCTTGTTCCAGATAGACGGACATGATAGGTTAATAGGAGTTCCTCCAAAATTCTCTTCAAGGGACCTGGTTTGATAAAAGGTAGACTAAGCCAATTCACTCTACCAGGCTCAATGGGAGCAGAAACTAAAAAAATTAAGTTAATTTGCAGGAGCCACCTGTCTCAAATTTGTTAAGTCTATCTTCTCCTTGACAAATTTTGTCCACTGGTGGGTTCATAGCCCCAACCAGCATACATAACGCATTTGACCAACAACTTGAAACTTGTCTTGGACAGCTAGTTACCTTAATGGCTCTGCCATTATTTGACATTTTCATCACTTTTGAATATGTCCTCAAAACTTGTTTAACATTTCAGAAACCAAATCATTTTACTTCAACATTTAATAATTACACACAGAATGTATAGCTTTATAAAATCAACTTAAACTTGGCTCATCATCATCTTTGACTAAAAAATTTGTCATTATTAAAAAATTAAAGAGGACTGCAAGTTTTGGGGGGAAAATCCCCAAAATAGTGTGAGCAATGGTACGTTAAATATAGTCTCACAAAGTGAGCACTTTAAGGGGGACAGCACATGTGGGATACACAAATTCTTTACCTGTGTACACTTCTTCTTTAACACAGCTTACACAGACCTACTTACATTTGGGGTCACGTGGCTATCACTGTTTAAAAACTGTCCAGCAGGGTAGCTGGGAAAGGGCCAGCAGGAGTTCACCTGCACTGAGTACTGCTGAGTTTTCAGGAGTGAAGCTGAAAACGTCGAAGCTACCCCTTCTCAGCATTTCCACGGTTTCATGCTAGTCAAGAGTTACAAGAACCTGTTCTTGGTATTTCAGCAAACTTTAGGGAAGACTAGCTCAGTAGCTTGGGTTCTAAAATCCTTTTGATATTTTTATTATAATGGACTTAAGCTTATAATTATTAGTATGCTCTGTCTGAAACATTTAACAGTACTGCAAGGACTTATAGAAGAAAATCCCTTATTAAAAAAATTTGTTAATAGAAAAACCATAGTAAAAGCAAACCTCCAAAAATTCATTTGTAGGCCATGAGAGCATAAGCACAACCATATGGGAGGAGATAACCACTCTCCCTTCATATATACTCTTTTTTATTTTCTTATTATACCTTCCCAAAACAGAGACATTCAACAGTAGTTAGAATGGCCATCTCCCAACATTTAAAAAAACCACACACCCCCATGGGTGAACAAAGTAAAGAGTGGTAACCTAGAGTTCAGCTGAGTAAGCCACTGTGGAGCCTTAAGTGGTGAGGTCTTCCAATTTCAGAGTGATGTGTCTTCAACTTGTTATCATCATTTAAGTGGAAAAACATAATTTAAATTTGGTGAAATGAGATTCATCTCCAGACAGGATTAATAACATCATTCACTGAATTTCACATTCTTCTTTTGTGAACTGTGAAGAAAATGAATGGTAGCTAGAAGATCAATGGGATTCCAGCTCCAGCTGCAGATGGAATGACAATACACCAGGACAAAAACACCTATATTTTGATTTACAAAGCTAACAGCAGTTTTAAATCTGCAACTTAATTACAGACCAACTACACCACAACCTTTTCAAATGGCAAAAATACAAAAAAGTTAAGTGTTACAAAAATATTTCAGAAAAAGTGCATAGTCTAAGTGCATAGTAAATAAAAGCACTGAAAAATATCTTGCTAGAGGGAGTTCAGCTTGGAAAAGTTATTACCAAAGCTAAACATTTTTATTTTACACAAACTATACTCAAAAATAGCTTTATGAGACTGATTTCTGGCTAAAAGTATCAAAGGGTTTATTAGTCAAGAAACAAAATATCTTAACTGACAAAGGTGAATAGAAAAGAAACAAAGTAGCTGCCTACCCCCAAAAGTTCATACTCATTAAGATTTCTGCAGTATTATGGTACTAATACATCCCTTAATCGCAGAATGTGGTAATCATGGAATTAATTATTGCTAAAGTACTTTTCAAATGAAATAAAAATTTAAAAAAAAATTAAACCTGACACAATCTGACCAAACAATATCAATTTACAGTTTCAAGGTTATTGTACAAAATACCCACATTTACACAATAGGCTCCCGGCTGCGTTTTCACACAAATGGTCTTTTAATTTATTCTGACATGCTATAAATGAATAGATTACACTATTTAAAGAATTATCGTCAATACGTTTTCTTTCTCTTGGGTCAGAGAAAAAGAGCTCAGAAATAAGATTGTAAGAGGAAGCCCACGCAGAGATAACCTACAGAAGTGAGTGGGGCCAGGGAGGGTCAGCAATCACGTGAACTTCACACAGTGTGATGCTCTCCAAGAATAAGAATCAATCTGGTTATAGCCATTTCGCAAGGATTTTAAAGAAAAACTTCCTTTTGTAGTTAAACCCTTTAACGCTTTTATTCTTATTAAAATCAGTCCAGCTGTTAAGTCAGAGGCAGCAGGAGTTACAATACCAAGTCCTGGCAGTCGCAGTACTAGGTACTGTGGCTGCAAGTCATTAAAATAAGAAAAATGAAAGAATGCCTTTCCCCTTCAGACCAAAAAAAAAACAAAAACAAAATTTTAAAACAAAAAAATTTTGAAGAATAGTTATAACACTAAATCTAAAATGATTTGCAAAGGAATATACTTAACAAATGTCTTGAAGTAGTCTATTAAAAATTGGGGAGATCTTGATTTCATAGTGAGTTAGCAAGGCATTTTTTTGTTTGTTATTTAAAAAAAATCTCATTTCCTTACAGAAACAGTTTTTAGTTTTTAATGAACTTGTAAACAAAAAAGCTCCCATTTCAAAATAAAAACAAAATCCCAGATCATATAGATGTTTACAGTGATTACATTTATCTAAGCAACATACATACATGTTCAGTTGTAAGATGGTAACTAATTCTGTGACAAATATGTTTTTCTCTTTAATACCAAGAACATTATAGAGTTAATGCAGAGTCCTAAAGATAATCTAGTAGTCACTAAGTTTTTCTTAAGTCTTCACTTTAGATGCTGTTATTCTAGCACAGGTAAGCAGGCAGAGTCTTTCATATGCTCAAACACTGGAATCTTTGGTTGCTACCATATCAGCTGGCTTGCAAACAAGAAGCCAATCATTTTGAGAATGTTTTAAGTAAACAACTTGCAACCCCAGGGATGGAAAAACCCTAAGAATGCACAATTGTTGAGCATTTACAACCATCACAACTGTGGCTGAAGACTGTTCATGCCGTTCTTCTGAAATGACATCTCAAAGCAGTACAGTTCAAAAGGTTTTAACAAAACAATTGGCATATGCACAATTTCTCCACCAATTTGTGTGTCAACCATTTAGTTAACTTTTCCACTTGAAAAAATGCAATAGAAAACTGGACACCATGTTTCACTATCTCAGTTAATATTCACAAATTACAGCGGCTACAACTCAGAACACAGCATCACCAGTGCTGCCCAGAGCCAGTTGATACTGAAATTAAGTTCGTTACACCAAGTAAATGGTTGTCCACAACCACTGGCTAGTGTACATATGGACTAAAATTTCTAGATTTGGGGAGAAACAAATGCTGCTCCGATCATCTGCTCTGCTTCTTTTGTTCTTCAATTCATGCTTAGAAACCTAACAAAAAGACAGAAAAATGAATGTTAAATTCCAAGGTGAAAATAAAATTTTAAAAGTATACCCGAAGTAGAAAAATTGCGTTGAAATGGGCCAATAATTATTTTATAACAGTGACTCACGTTCTTTTTCATCTCTTTGAAAATCATTAGCTCAACTGTTTAAAACAAAAACATAAATCTATAAAGAAAACAAAGTTTTCTGTTTCACATGACTAGGTAGGAGTGGTTGTACAGTTAGTTAAAGCCTCCGAGTCAGCATACAATTCTCAAGCTAGAGAACTGCTGGTAATTCAAATGAGCCCGTTATGTTCACTTCTGTATTTCTATCACCTAAAACATATTATAATGTGTTCAAATATTTGTTGAATGGATGAAAAGTAAGATTGCCTTGCTGTTTAACAACTAGAGAGAGTATAATCATACTATGTGGAGGAACTTCCATGAACATTATTCCTGATACAAATAAGGAATGTTAAGCTGTAATAAACGTGTTCAATTAAAAGTAAATGGTAAGTCTATGATTTCTACACAGAAACTTCAGAGCTTCAAAAATTCTTGACTTCTATCAGATCATTACAAAGGTTAAGTTTTGTTACTGATTTAAAAATGTAAACAAGTGATGCTTTTTAGGCTTTAAGTCTCAAGTTTTCCCTCCATGTAGCATACACACACCTCTCCCTGCCCCTACAAATAGGCCCTAGAACTTCTGCATAAAGGCAGGTTTGGATATAAGAAGGCTTTGGGTCATAATAGCTGCTTGTTTTACCTATGGTTAAGAGCAAAGAGAGGAAACGTCTCTCAACAATAACATGAACACACCATAAGCACCTTTTGTCACCCACAGCTACTCTTCCTTAGAGGCATCTGTATCTTTGTTCACCCTTATAGCCTACCTAATCATACCTCATACTAGCCCAGGTCTCTCCTCATTATTTTTTTTTTTAGCACAAACCATGCTTTTCAATCATGAACTGCCCTTATTCTTTCACTTCTCAAATGTATGGCCTTTGTGGGATAAATAAAATACTTGGATTATTTTCTTTTTATGCATGTATACCTTTGTTTTTTTCAAAGATAATGCCAAACACTATATCATTTTTGGAAAATATTCTCTCACTCATTAATTAGGAGTTTTTTCATTTGAGAGTAGAAACAGTCATCTTCATTCGTTTAATAAGCATATGGTATAAGCTCGGAGTGCTGTACTTCTCTGTCTCCTCATAGTGTCTTGACTACAGAGTAGATGCAGAATAGATCTTTGCTGGCTGAGTACTAAGTTCCTAAGAAGCAAATGCCAAAAGTGAAAGATAATGAAACTTTCTCAGAATATACTTCACCATAGGGAATACTATTTGATGTATATTATTAAATAGGATTAGCAAGGTGAATGTACCAAAACAAAGGCTGTCAAATCAAACCCCAATTAAGTTGTGATCATACTCTGTGACCTAATTCCAATTTTAAAATACAGGATATTTTAAAGCAGGTTAAGAAACTATGGATTAGCTAAATGGAAAGGACCCTTACTCCAGTCAGCATTTGGTTTCAAGTTCTGCAATTATACTTACACATGATAAAAAGAAGAAATCTTTTCACAAATACTAAAATTGCTGGGTTTTCATGGCAAACGGAAATACATTATATTGAATAATTCATTCCAGTGAATAAACCAAACAGGGCTTAAAAAATGGAAAACCACTACCACTAACAAACTAAATAGCATTAACTATACTGTCAGTCAATATACTAGGAAACTCTGTGTCTTTAACAGGGAAGCTTTAGATAAGGATTACGTATGTTCAACTTTTAATCCGATATTTGAGGAACTGCTGGGTTAATTAATGATTACAATCGTTGAGAGGTTGGTTAATGGCTAGCCTGACAATGTTCCTGGTAGAACGGACCAGTCAAATCCAGATTTAACGCTTCAGATGGGCCAATGGTAGGATATTCCACCCAGGGATCAATTTTTCTCCAAGTGAATTGTCCTAAGATGTTACTGAAGTTTGTTTAGGAAAAAACCTCAATATGAACATTCAGCAGGTATTCAACATTCAATCTTCAAGTACTAAGCACTCTTTTCCTCAGTATGCATTAGTTCGTGGTTTTTATCTCGCAGTCTGGGTGATGTCTCCTGGTTTCTGAAAGTACAAGAACCCATCTTCACTGTAACATCAGCCAAAATATGAGATAAATCCCTTTGTTCCTAAAAAAAAAGAGGAAAAACAGAGTTAAAATAGGGTTGGAAAAATTAATATGATGATTCAGGTATTAATAGCTACATTTAAGTTTCTTTTCAAATCTGAAAAAACAAGGGGCAAAAAGTTTATTATGTAACTAACCAGGAGATTTTATTCCTCAATCTGAAAAGTACATATCTACTCCTATTTGTGAATTAACTTCAGATGTACCAGAAACGAGTTCAAAGGGGTATTTATGAGTTTTTGAAATTTAGGATCCTTCCATAGTACAAGGTTAAGCACTCGACTGCCGACCAAAAGGTCAATGGTTGGAACACACCAGCTGCTCTGCAAGAAAAAGATGTGGCAGTCTGCTTCTGTAAAGATCTACAGCCTTGGAAATCCTATGGGGCAGTTCTATTCATCCTATAGGGTCACTAAGAGTTGGAATCGACTTGATGGGTCCCAGTATAAGACATACATAATTTTAAAAGTAATTTTTGAACACAATATTCATATTCACTATGCAATGCCATTTATATTGAACTAACTTTCCCTGTAACATATCTGTGTGGATTTTTTTGTCTCATAGACTAACACTTAAGAGAATTTTAAAACAGGACTGGCTGTGTATAAAGTCAAGACCAAACCCAATGCTGCTGAGGCAAATCCAACTCACAGTGACCCTACAGGACAGAGCAGAACTGCCCCATAGGGTTTCCAAGGAGCAGCTGAGCTCTTAACCACTATGCTACTAGGGCTCCTATAAAGTTACGGGGCTAGGGGTTAAGGGTGGGGTGGGCTATAATAATTCTCACCTTCTTCATGGAAACTAAAAAGGTACTAAGTGAGTTTGGGGAAGAAGATAAAGGAAATAGATTTTATTTTTCTCACAACAAATTAGATAAATGATGATTTAAGTACAGCAGGTATACATGACCCCTAAACTGTATTAAAAAAGACTGATGACCTGAATTATTTTATCTTCACTATTACAGAATTCATTCTGCCACAAATTTCTGAGGTTGCTGAATTTTGAAATACCTGTTACAACTGATTCCTTCCCCAACCGGTAGATGGTCTGCATTATACATCACTGAGTCACAGCAACACTATACTCTTCAAGGACTTCTGACTGCTGTGGTGTCACCCAAGTGATCCAACAAGTTGAAAAGTTTGACAGGTCCAGCAAGCCTTGGAAATATGAGCTCCATCCAGATCACAATAAACCAACTCTTGCATTTTCATCTTCATTTCCTGCTGTGTTATTTAGTTCTTTTCTATCCAGCTTTTTTGTCGACAGTGAAAAAAGATGACAAAAACTGGAGACTGCAGCAAGCAGATGCGGCTCCCTGGCACTTCTCTGGATTGAGTGTATTCAGAGCAGATCAGTCTCTCCAGGTATATCAAGGTCTTCCCCTGTGATTTGGGCTACGTTGCTGAGTGACCAGCCACGTTCCTAGCAGCAATTGGTGAAGTCAGAAAAAGTTAAGCTAGACATAAATGGCAGGTGAAGCCCAGTAAATACTGGAAGGTAATTAAAGGAAGACCATGGACATGGCAGGTTAATGAAATGGAAAAATATTTCTAATCTCTTTTGAATGCCAACAATCTGACATTCATCTATATCATTACGATAAAACTACACTTAATTATATGGCTAGGGTAGTGAATGGATGGATTAAAATGATGAGAGTAGAGAATAACAGAATTACGTGAGGATCTATCTTTGGCTTTACTAACTTCTAAAATTTCCCCCACCCTCTTCCCTCAAATAAAGAAAATGGTAAACTTAACTGGATTCTGAATGTCCTAAAAATATTTTCTCCTTTCTTTACAAAGTCTTGAAAAGCACTTTTGTGATAATCACATATATTTGAAGAAAAGGGAGTGAAATGGATTTGGAAGTATGTCAGATGGGACTCTTACATTTTTCTCTTGTCATGACTGTAAACAATAATAATTACATTCTTGTAGTACTTGGGCACGGAAATACTAGTACAGCTAATAATGGGCATTAGGAGAAAAACTTTGGTTTTCTTCCTTAGTCTTTTGACGGGCTTTGGAATGGAGTATTTCAAAAGATCTGAAGAAAAGTAATCAGGACAGAAGTTTGCCTACTACATAATACGCCCATGTTAACTGATTATGTCAGCACTCTAAAGAGTGTTTGGATATTTTCTATGAATTGCTATAAAACAACTTAATATAGTTTTCCATCGAGGAACATTAGATATAGTTTTTTTTTTTTTTAAATAACCACAATAAATACATTAGTGAATGTGTCCCCATTTGGAGAATTTTTCCAAGCATAGATATTCTTGCAATATAGTGATTTACTTGCTGAAGGTCAGTTTATGAAATGTCCCTGATGTGTAAATCTCTGAAATACAACTCTGTGAGGAATGAGTGACATAATGTATAAAAAGTACCTTTTAAAATTTTTAACTAGAAAAATTTGATATGGTGTTCTCATTCTCAATGAAAGGATTTCTTGGGATCATTGTATCATGAATCTTCCTTAAAAAAAATACTGCGGTGGACCCTTAAAAGAATATGCTTTTAAACACCCTTATATTTAGATACTGGAATCAGGAATAACCTAGAGCAGTTGTTTTCAAATTTCCTAGATTTCTTAACGGATAATGCAGATGACAGGGTGAGGGAACCAGCTCCTCATGCTTATCTCACGTCATCCTCAAATCTGCTACACTTTTGTGACTTTATATATAGGGCTTTCACATAAAATTTGTTTTGAGCACTAGGTTCTGCATCCAAAATAATACGGTTATTTTCAAGAAGGCATAAAGCAAAAGGAAAATACTGTTTTTTTTATTCTGGGGGTGGAACGTTTTTGTAGCAAGCAATATTTTGCTTATAGTCAAAACATGTCACCAGGAAATATCTCTCTGAAAGTAATCAGTTAATGATTATGTGATGTGTTTTATGGAAAGCCCAACTTTTCAGAAATTTTATAAGTCCATGTATATGTAATAATTTGTATAACCATTATATCTAATAATACTATGAAATCTTTAAAAGACTGAAAGTTGCTTTTATGAAAAATAGCTACAATACAAAATAAGGATTAAACTTAAGTTTAATTATATTTTTTTTTTCAAGGAAACATACTAACTCAGTGGATCCAACTTCTCATCTTTAAGACCTGGATAAGGCAGGACAAAAATTCTACTTGTTTATTGAGTAAGAGACACACAGTTAACTAACAATGGTACTAGCTCAAAATTAGGTAATTCTTTCTGAAGGCTGCTGAATGCCTGAAGTGAAATGTTCTAGGTCAGATGAGATTTCAATCTAATTTCAGTTCTAGAAACTGCAACTCATGATGATCCTACTATCCCAGCTAGCTTTAAGCAAAAATTGGTTTTGTTTTGTGAGAAAAAGCAAACACCCTATACGTGTCAAGTGTAACAAATCTTCAGTTTAGACTTCTACTTGGTCTTACCTAAATGGTAGGCCCATTTTTTCAAGGACACTAGCCACCTAGCTCATTAATAACTTCTTGGTACTATGATTGTTTATACAGTGATTATAAGACTCAAAAGGGGGCAAGTAAGTCTTAACTGAGATGCAGAGCACTGGGCAAGCATTAGCGTTTGCTATCCTAAGCTTAAACTTCATTGTCTAAGACTCCCCACTACATCAAACCTTAAACTTTGAATCTTTCCCAAATACAGAAACATGGATGGGAAGCATTTAAACTTCATGCCTAATAGATGAGCTGCTGGGATGAGGATGACATCAGTTAAATCTCTTAAAATGCTTTTTATTGTTTAAATATAACACTAAAAATATGAACCAAAGATTAATCTATGAAGGCCAAGTTCAGACTAGAGCAGTCATTCAGCAATTAAATAATTAGAAACTAAAAACCAAACCTTACTTGCCCACCATTTCCAGAAAGTAGGCAAGTATCAGGAGGTAAGCCCCAGAAAGGGGAAAAGAAAAACAAACTAGCAAACAAAAGCATGAAACAGAGGAGTGGAACTGTCTGGCAACAGTGATAAGAACTGGAGCTGTGCCCTAACAGTTCTACTTCTTAGTAGCACTAATACCTGAGGAAAAGTAGAAAGGAAACAGACTTGCAGTTCAATGGCATTTGCCCCAGGTATCTTCAATTTGCAAGGCCTAACTGCAGATTTCAATTCCACACAGGACCGTTACAGCCTGAGTGTTTCAAAAATTTAAGAGCCAAAAAGAGAACCATTTTGAAATTAAGAACATGTGTAGTTGAACAGCAACTAAAAAAGAGATTTATTTTGTAACTAGGAAAGATGTATCGAGCTTTTCAGTTCTTCGAGCATTTAAGAGAGGAATTGGAACACTCTGCAACTGAGAAGACAGACACTTTGGGGATAATGCCAGACTCACCTCTTGAAATTAGAGCATATTCACAATTTTCAATTCTAAAGGCTAAAGCGTTAACATGCAGGAGAACGAACAAAAAACTTAACACTGTTAGTCTGAAAGAAAGTCAAAATACCATGGCTAACTAGATTCATTACTTAAAATCAACAAGTGTTAGGTCTAGGATTTTGGATTGATTGACCATATTCCCAACACCAAATGTTTATTTTGGAAAAGGTTAATGAATGAGTAAAAAAGATGCAGTTGTTATAAATGACCCAAAATCCCAAGAGAAATGATATAATATACACACATATATGTATATACAAATACATATACATATATGTATGAACAAGGACATTTGGGTTTAAAGTTAGTAGTCAAATTTTCCAAGGACGTCTTTTTTTTTTTTTGTAAACACAGAGCCAAATTTTTTGATGTATTTTAAAACCACCTCCTTGATCTAACACTGTTAGAAATTAATGAATTACCCAATTTTGTGTTCAATTTTTTCCCTGTAACGTCACTTGGTTCTTGGCTACTAACCTTTCATGTTACTCTTGGTTTTGTCAGTTTGCTTGCCTGTGGGGGTTTGGGCCTGCTGACCCTGCCCACTGGAAGAGGCTGCCTGCTGTGCTGCTTTCTGCTTTAACATCGTCCAATCAAATGTGTAGTCATATTGGTGGTTCAGGGTCCTGGAAAACATAAAATTATATGTTAGTCTTTAATGACATATAATCTTTAATGATTAAAGTACCCTACTAAACTTTCAATACAATGAGGGGCATTTCTTCAGGAAATAAATATTTTCTCTCAAGTGTTGTAGCTTCTCTCCCTACAGATGAGTTGACTTTTTTTGGTAACGGTTCAGTGAAATAATTCCATTTACATTTCACGAGTTAAGGAAAATGATACCACCACTCTGGTCTGCTACACTAGGTAAGAATAAATCCTCTCCCTTTTCAACAGCTGCCTTTACACATTGAAAGGGGCAGGGGAGTGGGAATGAAAAGGCAGCATGAAGAACTAAAATACTGAGTTAAGCTGTCAGTTATCTAGGGCGATCTTCATAATGGCAGGTAATTCCTAAAAACAAATCAGTGTCTGTATGGGACTGGAAGTTTGTGAGGAAGATGTCTGTGCTGGTGTCTGGGGGAGACTTTTCTCAAGGTAAAGGATTACCCCCAGTTCTTATTCTCTTCCAGTTATAGTTTGAGCCATAAGTACTCTATTTTTTCCCCCGTGTTTAACACCAATTCTAGGCTGGATGAGCCTAGGGAACCCTGATTTGAGTCTGTCTCCACAATTGACTCCATGTCTGTATGATATTTTAATTCTTTTTTCATCTCATACAGAATAGGTTTGGTTCTGTACCAAAGCCGGAGAGTTCTAGAGCACTGGTATTCACTAATATCTCCCGTGAACTGCAATTATTGTAGAAAAATTAGGTTCTACTTTGAGTTCAATTCAACTGCTTCTCCACCCTAAACTAATCTCAAGCAAACTGAAAAACGTCAAAATTAGCTCAAAAGAACTCATTTCTTAAAATTGTATTCATATTGGTCAGACGTGCTTTACTTTGCTACTTCTCAAAGTAGATATGTTGGACAGATTTAACCAATTTCCCTCCCTGAAGTGTATAGTCTCAAAAATATCTTAAAAACTGACCTGAAAAGAATGCGGAATAGCTGCCTCAGATACATGTAATCCGGGGCTTCCTCAAAGCGCAGCCCACGACAATAGTTTAAGTACATAGCAAATTCTGCAGGAAACCCCTAGAGATTAAAGAGTTAAAACACACAATTAAAACAAACAAACAACAAAAAAACAACTTATTTTAAGATGAGAAAATAAATGTATTTAAGTACAAGCAAAAAAATGTATTTAGATAGAATGTTTTACTATTTTATAGGCAGATGTGAGAATAAAAATAACTATAATATGACTTAGTTTCCTCAAATCTTTGAGTAAAATGTCATCTTTCTGTCCACTCCATTATAATATGGACAACATCTTGTCCTTTTATATTGGTGGAGGAAATATGTATCCCTTTCTACTTCTCCTCCCTTCAAATAAATGTGAAAGTGGAGAGTGGTATGGAGGATAAGTTAAAGAAGGCAGTCTCTTCCCATAACTATCTGACCTACTGGCTAACGAAAGAAGTCCTTACAATTTTTAGAAATTTCTTACATCCAGAATAGTCAAGACAGGATAGAATAAATATACTTACAACATTTATTTTTACTGATTAATAAACAATAACAACTGAAGGTCAAATAAGGTAATTTTTTTTTTTTGCCACCTTACGAAATAACAAAACCTTAACAAAAGAAAACTGCCCATGTAGGCACCATGGTCTCGGGGAACATCTAGCTCAACTGGCATAACACAGTTTATAAAGACAATGTTCTGCATTCTACCTGGTGAGTAGCATCTGGGGTCTTAAAAGCCTGTAAGCAGGCATCTAAGATACTGCACTGGTCTCACCCCTTCAGGAGCAAGGGAGAACAAAGAGAAGATACAAGGAAAAGATTAGTCCAAAGGACTAATGAACCACAGCTACCACGGCCTCCACCAGACTGAGTCCAGTACAGCTAGATGGTGCCAGGCTACCACCACTGGCTGCTCTGACTGGGATCACAATAGAGGGTTCTGGACAGAGCTGGAAAAGGATGTAGAACAGAATTCTAACTCACAAAAAAGGACCAGATTTACTGGCCTGACAGACTGGAAAAACCCCGAGAGTACGGCCCCCGGGACACCCTTTTAGCTCAGTGGTGAAGTCACTTCCGAAGTTCACCGTTCAGCTGGGGATTGGACAGCCTCATAAAACAAAACAGGACTAATGAGGCACAGCAGTCCAGGGACAAGGACTAGTAGGTGGAAGGGAAAAGAAAGCTGGTGATAGGGAACCCAAGGTTGAGAAGGGTCAGTGCTGACTTGTCGGGGGGGTTGTTAGCCATTGTCATAGTGCAATATGTGTACTAACTGTTTAATGAGGAAATATTTGTTCTGTAAACCTTCATCTAAGGTACAAAAAAAAGAATTATCTATGTGAGATCAAACTGACAACAGCAACTCAAAAGGCTTGATGGGAAGTCTAGGGGGCAGTGAGTTGAAGATAATGGTGATGGAATAATTTGGAAAAGGATAGCGAGAATAGCAGCACCACTGAAGAATGTAATCGATATCAATGAATTGTACACGTAGAAACCTTTGAAATGGTGTAACTTTGGCTATGTATATTTTCACGGAAAAAAAAAAAAGGTCCTCCAAGGTCGAGAAGAGAGAGTGTTAACATGTCGTGGGGTTGTTAACCAATGTCATAAAACAATATGTGTACTGACTGTTTAATGAGAAAGTGTTTGTTCTGTAAACCTTCATCTAAAGTACAATAAAAAATAAAAAAAAGACAACTGCCCATATTATAGGAGTTACATATATGAAGAAGCATCACTGAACCATGAGACTTATGAAAATGATTTCACTACTTTATAGAAATACCCCATACTTCTGTGTTCACTCCATCATGAATTGTATATTTGCGGCTAATCCAGAAAGATATAGTTCCCAATTTTTAGATCAAAATTAAGAGGAAGCCACAAGCGGAGAATATACTAAATCCTCTCTTCTTCTTTCTGCAAAAATACTGACTTTTCCAGTAAGCCGGATGAATTTTTCTTTTGCATGTACTATACAGAAATTATGGATGTTTCGCTTACCAAAGTACACAGATTTTTAACAATTTATTTGGGTGGACTATAACACGTGACTCATACTTAAACCTCAAAAGTCTCAAAGGTGATCATACATACTCACACCCCACCCAATCCTCTCCATTCTTGTAGATATGTAGAAAAGGGCAAAGCAAATTTGTGGATGGGGAGACCCATATAAACTCACTTGCCTTCCTATGAAGTTTGAGGTTTTAACTATACTATATTCTGTAGTTGGACAACAGCTATTTTGGATTGATCTGATCTACTGTCTGTTTCCCTACCCTTTAATATACCAATTACTGGTTGATTGCTTTTCTGACTCCAGTTTAGGGATAAGGAGAGTCTTTCTTATTTAATCTCTCTCATAGATCGGCGAGGTTCTATTAGGAAAATTTACCCGCTCTATTAATATCCTCAATTAACAGAAGAGAGAGCCCAGATAAATAAGAAGCATAAGACGAGACAGGTATTTAAAACGACCCATTTACTCAAGCCATTCTTAAGGTAAAGATATTCTGAATCATTAAAAAGTAAATTTAAAATGGTCAATAGCTACCTAATAGGCTGTCTAAGTTCTAGCTAACAAATAAAATGTTTCTTTCTGCTCTTGATCTTTTTTTTTTAAAAATACTCATCAAGCATTCTTACTTTACATAAAACTTCAACAGGAGTGGACATCTTCTTTTCACTAATCTTTTCATATTTTTGTTTCTTTGTTGCAGCCTGTGGAAAATAAGAATTAAATCACAAAGACATACTCAATACTACTGAGAAGAACTTTAGAAGTTTAACACACTAAACATATATTTGAGATTCAAAAAAAATCTTAAGCCAGAATAAAAAAAAAAATCGAAGTATAATACACCTAAAATTTTTTCCTCTTAACTCTGTTAACCTTTGAGGTTAGTCTCTACTTCAAGAACATTTTTACCTATTAGGTAAGGGTGAGTCTATCAAAAACAACAAAATGTGTGACTTAAGTAAAAATAGATGGGGTCAGAATTAGGAACAGTTTTGTTAACCTATGGTTCAACACTAGGGCAAAAGCAAAAGCAGATCAATACAAAAAATTGTGCCTATTATTTAATGCCATTAATAACCAGAGTTAATTGCTAAGTAAAATATATTTTTCCAATGTAAAAATATTTATATTGGATGAAGCTACAAACAACTGAGCAATTGTCCTAGTTTACAGATGCTCAACAAATACAGATACCTTTTTCCTTTAAAGTACCGATAAGGTATCAAAATAGCCAGTAAATTATAAGACATAGGGATTTATCATTAAAACACAAACACTCACAAAAATAATGGTGAAACTCCTAGTTAATCAAAACAAATAAAATGTTAGAATAATTGCCAAACAATATAATTAGTATTCATGGATAAACAGGTTTTGTTGTACATAAAAGTATACACTTTTAGCATAATGGCAATACACTGAACTGGAAAAGTCTCCACTTTCTTAAGCCATATCAACTTACACCCAGATAAAGCTAGTAGTTATCAATGTGTACCAGCTTACTGTCTCAAAAGAAATTGTTCTGCAGCTGTGACTAAGGAATTAAATTTAATTCAAACTCAGAAAATCTCTGATTTGGAAGGGATCTTAAAGGTCATCTTGCCAAATATATATTTTTATTTCCTAAAAACAAACTTGTAAGTTTATGGTTTACCTTTAGTCCTTGCCACGGCAGGCTGGTTCTATTGAAATACATCAAAACGTATCCTAATGACTCCATGTCATCTCGGCGACTAGAAAAGAGAATTTAATTTTATGAACTGAAACTATTATGAGGAAACATGTGAAAGAAAGCCAGGTACACAATAAGAAATTTTCCCAAATGAAAAGGGAGCACTATTCTGCTTCAAAGTGCCTTCAGCACCTTATGTAAGAAGGTACTTAAGTTCAGGCTGTTGTTGGCTTTTGTAATAAAAAAAGGTCATAATGGGCTACTTCTAAACAAACTTTTCTCATAAAAGTCAAAATCGTAAAAATGAACACAGTTCTACAGTTTAATTTTTAAAGCAAAGCAAAAAGGTTTTAGTTAACAACTATGTAAATGAGGTGAATGAAAATTGAAGCACCAAGTAGCAGGACACAGATTCCAAGTTTTGCAGAAGCTCATAAAAATAACTTTAGGTATGCTGGAATGAATACACATTTTGAAGTTAATAAAACATCTACATGAATTTATACATATGTATGTGTACAGGCATATATTATATATACACACAGATAGATACATATATTTAAAGCCTGGTAATATGTCAGCCTACCGAAAAAGTCTAATTATAGTTTAATTGAAGGTATTCAGGTATTTATAGGTATTTCCTAAAGCTTGAAATTCTCATGAAGTTCCCTAACCTGGGGAACTTCATTTCTATACGTGTTTTAAGAAGCAAAAAATGACTGAAAAAAAGATGAAGGGAGAATGAAAAGCTAGGGAGAAAGCAGCTGAGATGGTGATTTATTATAATTTTTACTTTAAAATTGCGTGTATTTATATAGATTGGTGAGACTGGAAGAATGAAACAGGACATGGTCCACCAACTCTCTTTTGGTTCATAGGACTCAAGGAACATTTTCCTTGTAAAAATAACTAATATATTCTTCCTCAAAATTCAACTTGGCATCACTCAAAAATATAAAACGCCCAAGATCAGCATTAAGAAATTACTGTCTTCAGCTGTAAAAATGAAACGTCAAGACAAAATTGCATTTATGCTTCTAACTTTCCATCAAGCAGTGTCTTCTTCCCAAGAGACAACCCTGAACAAAGAAAACAAAAGACCTCATTTAATTGGCTTCCCTGCACTGCCTAAAGCAGCAGGTAAAAGGATTAATAAGCATCCTTCAAATCCTCAGCCAAAAGACATCCTTAGACATTCTAAAAAACTAATTCAAATAGACGAAATACCCATTAATGGCTTCTGCTATGCATAAGGACATTCAGTTTTCAAACTCACCTCTGCTCAATACCAAGATGTGCATTGATGCTAGCGTATCGGGCAGTGCCAGTGAGATTTTTATCTTCTCTGTATGGTATGTGTTGCCTTGTCCTGTTGTCTCTGTACTTTTTGGCCAAACCAAAATCAATAAGGAATAACTTTAAAAGAGAAATAAAGACACATTAGGTTTCCAACCTTGGTCAGTTAAACCGCTTCTTATTCATTAATGGCATCAATTTATTTATAAAAGTAAAGCAGAAACGTATACAAGTGTGATAGCAGAGCTGACAAGTGTGGTGTTTGCATAATGAAACCTGACATCCTGTTACTATTGGTATTGAGCATGGGGCTTCAAAAACTAGACATAAGTTATCTCAAACTCTTCCCTCCTACAAAGGCCACTCTTCAGTGTGCCAACAGAATGCTCATTATCTAAAATAAGACAACCCTGTCAGTTTGATATTGCCAATGAAACCAAGACATTTATTAACAAAAAATAAGCACCTCTTAAAGAAGCATGCATTACATTCTACTACTTCACACTGACATTATGCATGTGATCAGGTTAAACTTCTGGAAAATGACAGAATGATCTAAAAAAAAGCACTCAGCATTTAAATCAAGGTGGCTTAAAATTAGCAGTTTACGTGAGTTAACTAAAAATCAAACAAGTGTTTTAGAACAAAGTAATGCTTAGTGCTGTCTCATTTATATGATACCCAGGGAATAAGATAGTCATAAACAATGCAGTTAATTTTTCTCGGTAATTCAAGTTTACTCTCCGAGATTAAAAACTCTGGAAGAGGGAAAAAAAAACAATTCTTGGTGGGAAAAAAAAATCTTTCCCAAGTATATTCATATTTACCTACCTTCTAAAGCAAAATAACTAACCTTGAAAATTTTAGCCTTTATTATAAAATCAGTTTTTACACACTATGCTATATAACCTACAAAGATTATCAAAGTGGGCAGGATACGTGCCCATCTACTACATAGCGTTAACGTTTGTTCTTTTCTAGTTATGCCTGAATTTTGTGGTTCTTTCCATCAGACTGATACCTGGTCCTTTCTGCCAGTTTACAATCTGTGATGTGCTGGGGAACCTGATCATCTCATCTATTAAGGTTTGTGTAGAAAAACAAATAAACAGTGCAAATTATTAATTTAGGTTAAAAAGTGCTGACCAAGTGCATCTCTTAAGAGGATGAGAAACACTATTCCAGCCAGGCACTATAACCCAGTCTCGGTTACACTTTGGATGGTAAAAACACGGAGGTTTGACATTCTTTTCCCATGTCAACAATGAGATACTTATTTTCACTTGGTCTACTATAAAAGAATGAAGATTAAACTCTTAGTAAAATGTAAGTAGATAATGAAAGCTCTCTAAGCAATAAGATTAAACTTATTTCCTAAGCAATCACTCAAGTTATAAAAGGAATATGGGCAAGTTAGCGTTAAAGCACTAAAAGAAAGAAAGCTCACACTGCAAGTTTCTCTTGATATGCAAACTGCTCAGCACACAAACATTAGAATGAGTTAAATATACTTTTGTTAAGCAAAACAAAAATCATGTCTTAAGTTCTGCAGATTCATACTGAAAAGAAAACATGGGAAAAAGAAACACAAAAGAACAACCAGATTCATGGTATTTTTAAAAATACCCCTAAGAAATATGTGGATTCTGAATGAACAATGATTAGTACATAGAATTTCCTCTAAGAAATATTTTCTGAGATTGCTTCCTTTAGTACTTTAATATGGCAGAGAAAAAAGGAGAACACTGACATGATTATGTCAGATAATTTCATTCATGTCTAAATCTACATTCAAAAGCTCCATTTTGAGATTCAATAACCAGACACTTATCCACAACCAAAACATTTGCTTTATAAAAACTCAGTGTTCTTTCCTTCCACAGCTCTAAAAGAGGAAACCTAATTTATTAAGTAAACTAAAAAAATATAAACACCTTGTTCCTAAACATCTCAATCTTTAATATCAAAACTAAAAACAAAGTAAACCAATCTTAAATTTTCTCCTCTTCTTGTAAAAACTGAAAATAAGTTAGGAAAAGAAGTATCACGGCTAAACAAAGGTATCCTACTTTTAAGAATAAACAACTGAAAAGAAAACTACTCCGGAAAAAAGAAAAATCTCTTGGTAGCTCACGACCTTCTGGTACTTATCAAGTTTCTTCAGTAGCTCTCTGTATGCTTTGAAATTAAAAACTAATATAAACATATAAAGGAAGTGTTTTCAGGAAACCATGTGATACCAAGGATACAACCAAACAGCCACAAATACGCAAAGGGAGAACCAAATGAGTAAAAATCAATATCCAATAACTCGTAAGATAATGTGTTTTTATAGGCTGGTATAGCCAAAGAGAAGGACAAATTTCTCTGGTGGTCAAGCTGCTGTGCAGTTTTACTAATTACATGTTCTAAGTAAAATGTGTGCCTGTTTTAAAGAATGTAGCCTATTCTTCAAAGGCATGTAGAAATGAGCTATGTTTGATAAACTGGGGCCATTCCATTCAGCAGAGGTGGATTTTCTTCAGAAATATTTTTTATTTTTTTAGTACTTGTAGCAATTTTTCTCCTACTCAGGGTCACATTCCCCTGCCCTTCCAATACATTCACAAGGTCACTTTTCCTCACAAAACAGCTAACCTGTATGTAGAGAATATAAACAATTTAATACAACTTTATGTAATTAAATGATTATGCTACAAAATATACCAAGTAAAATGTGAAGAGTGAATTGATAAGTAAAAATGAGATACAAGAGTTTTTTAAAAAGAAATTATATTGCCTTGTAATGCACCTAATACATTCCCACTCCTTGCTCCCTCTCCCCAACAAAAATTAGTCACCATAGTTAAGTATTTCTTTGCCTATGAAAAAACATAACTGAATTTCTGAAACCTTTATAACAGGAGGAGGTGCCCCCTGGAATAACACTGGGCAGTATGGAAAAGGATTACATGATGATCCAGATGATACATGCGGATAAGTAAGGTTACTACAATGTACGTTCTCACAGCAAATATAACTCTTTTCTTTTGCAACTACTCTTGCGAATACCTCCTTCTCAGTATATACTAAATTGAATGATAAAGATTCATTAGTTGAGAGAACTTCAAAATTTATATAACTGATTTTGTGATTAAAACTCATGGCAAAAAAGTTATCTAACTTCTACAAAAGTAAATACTGAAAATCTGAAGTGTTCTACTTATATTTTTGAATACATATTTATAGGAGTGTTTTCAGTGTATCTAGCCTGCCAAAAACTAAATCATCAGGTTACACATTCATTTATCTTAAGCATCACTAATGCTCATCTACCATTTAGTTTGATGAGTACTTGAATTATATTAATGTTTTATTGTTAAGAATGAAATGTCTTCTAGTTTAAAAGCATACAGTGCTTTTTAAGTAGCCATTTGGTTGAAGTTGAGAGAATTCACAGACTAAGATGAATCAATTCTAGAAACACTAGATCTGAAATCTGATCTGCACTTACCTGAGGTTCATTGGGGAAAGGGAAGAGAGGTGAGGCAGAATAAATTCATTATACAGCACTGATGCAACTGAATTTAGATGTATTTCATGCATTAGATTCTGCAACACCAAATATATTTTAAAAAACTGAATAGTCTATCTTCAAGTTTACCATTAATTAGGTAAAGAATTTCAATACCAGACCAACATTATCATTTCCTTATGTGGATGTTAGAGATCTAAACATAATCCTATTTTCATTTAGGTTTTCTCTAAACTTTACAAGTTTTAAGCAAAAGCCACAAAGAAACATCTTAGTAATGTTATATGTTTGCCAAGTATGTCTGAATAATGCCAACGTAAGAGGTGCTTGAGCAAGATCTACATTCTCCAGAATTAAAACAAAACAAAAATAATCAAAATAAAACAATAAAAAAGAAAAGCACATGAATTTGGGATTGAGGTTGGAATAGGAGACAGTTTCAGACCTGGTTTAATCCTGAGAAAGATGGGTCCTGAGAAGTACTAACAGTCATGCTTCTTTTCCTCTTCCCCACTGGAGATTCTAAACACTAAACAGACAATAGAGGGTGGCAGTGCATCAAACAGTATTGCTTACATTGCAACAATGGCCGGCGCAGACAGGCAACACCGAGGCATTAGAGAAAGAACAGGGTAGCCAAATGCCATCCTTCTTCCATCAAGCACTGTAGCTTCTGTTTTCCAAATAAGAATCACACGCTCAAGAACATTTGAATCCTGGAATACTCAGGTTTTTAATGCCACTATATTGTGTCACTGCCTGAAATAGGGATAGCAATGGTGACATTTGGCTCTTTAATTTTTTAATCATAAATGGGGAATTTAGATCTGTAAACTTTGCCGCCTTTCCCCCGAAAAAGATCGTACAGGGGAAAAAAAATCTTCAGTAAGGAAGAGGTAGAAGGCATTTAGTCACCTTAAAATTTATTTTTACAGGCATGCAGGGATGATTACTAGAAGAGAAGAGCAAATTCACTAAGATTGGAGTGGCCACTCCTAAATATCAAATTTAGAACAATTTTCCAAAAAAAGAACTTGACTTTAAAAACTGAACTCAAAAGCCCCCAAAGCTAGTTTTTTCCCTATGAATAGAGAACTGCTGGAACAAGATAACTACAGAATCCAGTCTCATACAACTGGCATTTTAAAACTACAATACAGAAAACCAACTACTGACAAACAAAACACTAATCTAAAATATTCAAGAGCAACATTTCGTATATGACCCTTAGTTAAATAAAACACTGCCCTTCTACCCCAGGGTTTCTCTGAAACTGTATAGCAGCAAGCAGTTCCACTATATTCTTTTTAATAGCTGTAAAGAGAACAGAGGATCCTAAACTTTTCAACACCAGGCAATTTAGATTTGCTAACACAACTATGTGATTAACAAGCTATTCTTTAAAAAAAAAAAAAAAAAAGCAAAGCCATATTATTTAGGCCATCATTTAATTTTAAGGCAAAAACCATGTACTGCAACGTTAACCCAAAATGGCCATGCAGAACATGGATTACTTGAGTATAATGGTCTTTAGGGGTAAGAAAATGGGAAAGAGAGGCTGGGAAATGGCCAAAAGACGATAGAGTCAGAACTGACAAAACTGCCCCAAAACTTAAGATCAGTAATTTCTTTTCAACTGAATCACCAGGTTTTACAATAACAATTAAGAACCTGGATGCTTCTAAGGAAAAGCTACATAGTTTTTTTTAAAAAAAAAAAAAAAGGAAAGAAAAGAAAAAGATGCAATTTGGGAATGATAATTTATATGTAGATTTAAATAAACACTTTTCATTATTTAAAACTCAGCTTTCAACCAAAAAATTTAATTTCCTAAAGCTTGGCTAGACCAACATAAATGTCTCACACATTACTAAATAACATCAGTTCTAACAGTGACGGCTCCAAGTTGGCATTCATACAGGCAAACAAAGGTAAACATTTATAGCTAGACCTAAGAACACCAAACATTCCCTGATGGGTTAATAAAACAAATGGGAATTTTCGTTCCAAAAACAAAATGAAACAAAAAAAACACAAAAAAGTTCCAGAGTTGTCCTGAAGTTGAGAATTTCTATCAGATCATCAGATCGTAACATGCTTAGTGCATTGCCAATGCTGCCTGTCTGCCCGAGCTCAACATTGAATCGATAAATTTAAGCAGTTCACTCAATAAAACTAATCAATGAAGAAAGAATTTTCAACACAATTAGTTTCTAACTACAATCATGAGTCACTAGCTAAAACTCAATCACCCCTTAAATTCAACCATTCTCAGAGACCCCAATGAACACTAGTTTTGTTGTTTGAATGTTCATTTCACTTCTCCGCATTTTCCTTTCAAAAGAAGGGGGAGAGAGACGGAGAAACCACCCAACTTGGCACCCAAGTAAGAAACCGTCAACTACTTTTGAAGCAGGCCCAAAAGTTACCCTTATGAATACACAAATCCAAGGAATTCTCATTATCAACCACGCCCAGTCAGCAAATGTTAACGCCATAGTGACAGATGGGCCAGTGGTTCCCGTACTGGCACAAGCTAATGTATTATAGAAAACCCACACTTCAGAGTCAAAGATTAAAATCTGATTTTTAGCATTCAGGAGAAAACGTGTACAGGGATTTTCACTATCTGAGTGAATGAAAAATATATACAACTATTCAATAGTTAAATAACACAGATTACATTTCATTATAAAGCCTTTAGAATTTTGCATTTCCATATAAAGGTAACTAACTTTGGTTGGGTAAGTTGGAATTTATTTCAAGTTACTAAGTTAATAGTTAGCTGATTATCCTTCTAGCACAATCTTTTAAATTATCAACAGCAAATTCAATTTACTATGGCTTTTTAAAGATTGAAAGTTTACCAAAGCATACTATACTCTTTGTTCTTTCATGCAAAGAGCATTTGACTAACCTTATTACAGTGACGCCCAATACCCATTAGGAAGTTATCTGGTTTAATGTCTCTGTGTATAAAATTCTTTGTATGCACATATTCGATTCTACTGATCATCTGGAAAAGAAAAGGGGGGGGGGAATCATTGAGTTACATTTTTTAAGCAATAAAGAAAGCAACATATCATTTCTCAATGCAAACTTATTTCAATTAACTTCATAACAAAGATTATAGGTATATTTAATAATTTTAGAGTACATAAAAACAGCACTAGAAAAATTCAATGGAGAGAGCAAGCAAGCTCTCCGTTTGTATCTAAAATGATGGAAATGTAAGCATAAACTTGCAGTGTCCTTTGGCTTGTCCTTCCAGTATTAATGGTTATAAACAGGAGCGTGACTAATCTGACAGAATTTGTATCTGCGATGTTCAAATTACAAAAGTAATAAATTCAGAATTGTTTCAGTTTTTATGCTCTTATGAACGAACAAACACGCGCGCGCGCGCACACACACGAACATTCACATGGAGGGGGACTGTCTGACAGCCTGGAAGATACAGCTGTAAGCTGTTATTACTGTTTTAAACTAAAATTCTATTCACTTCATTCTTGTTTGCTTATTTTTTAACTAAACATAACCCAAACTTTCCTGCAAGTTGGTAGCATATTATGTAAACTTAGTAACTTTTATATAAATGGGGACATATACATACTGGAGTTTCCTTTCTTGCATCTTTTTTGGAATCTTCCATGTTTTTCTCCATGCTTATATAATGGTTATTTAAAATTTGAATAAACATGTTATTCTAGCAAACTTTCCTTAATCAATTTCTTGGGAATTCTGCCAAGTCAAATGGTATAGCACTAGTCTTCTTTTTAATACCCACAAATATTCTATGGTACAGATATGTTTTTCCCAATCATTCTCCAATTCACATTAGTCTCATTGTTTCTGTTTTTCCACTATAAACAATAATACTATTAATATACTTAGATATATATCCTTTCTAGCGGTGCTTTTACTTCTATAGGCTATAAATCGCATATAATTATGGGGAATTGCTGGGTTGAAGGGTATGTATATTCTTTTCAGTCTGACAGATGTTGTCAGACTCCCTTTGAAAGTAGGCTCTAAGAATTCCTATTTCCATTAGTATTGCTTTTCCACTAGCAAAGTTATTTCAGTTCTTTCTAAATTTTCCTAGTTTGACAGGTTAAAAAGTGTTAGCTCACTTGTACTTCCTTAACAGTTTAGGCAGCTGATTATTTTTACTGTCCATTTTCCTATTCTATGAACTGTCAGTCTATACTCTTTGCCTATTATTTCACTGGCCTGTTCTTTTCTTGTCAATGTTCAAGAGCCCTTTACATACAAGTGAAAACCTTCTATTATTTGTTATGCAAGAGCATCTGGTGGATTCGAACTGCCAGCCGTTTGGTTAGCTCACTGTAGCTCCCTGTAGCTCTTAACTACTGCATCTCCAGAGCTCTGTGAATACGTTTAAAAAATGTTTTTAACTTCCCTTTGGACTGTTTATAGCTTCTATTGTAAAACAGAAGTTTTTAATTTTCAAATTATCAAATACCTCTCTATTCTATAAGATTTTAAAAGTTTTGTTTTTCAATGTTTTCCGTATCCAAAGATTGCCAACATTATCTTTCTACCCGTATCTTCTTGCTCTTCCCTGTAGTTTATGTGTCAGGATTCTATTTGTTATTTGTCCCTATTTTCCCCAGAGCTTCTATTACCATGGATACGGATTCTAAATCTTATTCCTGCACCATAACAAGTGTCTTTTGAAGCTAAACCTGTCATCTCTGACTTAAAGTCACTCATTTATTTATTGCATATACTCGAAGTAGATGTACACAACGTACAAATACCACACACACTTAGGTACAGCAGTAAACTTCTACTTTAAAAGAAGCAAAACAAACCATTTGGCTCGCTTAACATACATATATTTGTCCTAGCTAAGTAATACCCATCATTAGACTATGACTATTACATCACTGGGAAAAGGTCAGGCAAAAGATAATTAATGGCACAAATTACAGACTACCACTTCAAGTGTTGCCTATCATCTACAGAGTAAGACTTAAATGGATGCCTTCTTGCAACTCCCCTATGGCACCAGTGTACCCAACAAAGACTTCTAACACAGAACCTTTAATGCCTTAGTTTTCCATCTTTCTCTAAGCTCCTAGAGAAAAGGACTGGCTCTTACTTATCTTTGCAAACCAACCCCCCCGCCATGTTAACTACAGTGGCAGGCCCTCAGAATGCCTGTGTGTTACTGAGCCTACGGAACATAATCTATAATTTAATTACTATTCACCCACATATGTTAGTTAAAATATAACCTTCTAATGCTTGAGTTCATAATGTACCACAAACAAAACACTGTAATTTGCTAATATCTGCTTAAGCCACTCAGTAGTTTTTATGTTAAACTTAGAGAATATCAGGTACTGAATATAGAAAATGAGCACTTTTAACCTTTTGAATTTACAGACTGTCTACAAATTCCATCTCAATGATCAGTTCTGTTTATCACCTCATTTTACTTTCTAATATCCAATCTAAATTTAAGAAATGTCATTCTCCTCCACAGCATTTTTCTAAGCACATTCAGTATAATGTGAAGCATTTCCAACAATTTGCTGCCCTTAAAAGTTAACAAGTCTTGACCAAAATTTAAAACTATAAAACTCCTTGACATTTACCTATTATCTTTACTATATTGTCTTTTCCCTCAAAGCTCCTTCCCAGCTCCACCCCCCATATTAAAATTTTTAAACTAAGTTTCATGCTCACTTTCACAAGATCAAAAAATTTAAAAATTGGTCTTAAAATACCCACATATAATACATACAGAATATTTGACTTGCTTAATTTAGCCAAAATTTCTATATATATGTACATATTTATCTACACACATACACCCAAAATCTTATGAGGAAGGAAAGCCCTTATATTCAACAAGAAAATGAGTAATACCTCATCTGAAAAATAAGCTTAAAAACCACTAGACTACAGATTAACAATAAATAAATCAATATAATCCCAGTTTTTGTCCTGTACACATAGGAAAACATCTAGAAGTCATATTAGAGTAGTATACCTGAATGAGTACCCCCTACTACTCAACTTTTTATTGCTTAAGGTTAAATAGTGGCACACAGGATAGTAAAACTCTGGCTTATGAGCACTTAAATTATTGTCCAACAGATTGAACAGTAATAGCCCCAGCTTCTATTTTCATCAAAATCTCACATACCTGGTCAGCTAACATAAGTACAGTTTTCATTGTGAACCTTCTTGAACAGAAATTGAAGAGGTCTTCGAGGCTGGGTCCGAGAAGATCCATGACTAGCACATTATAGTCTTTTTCTTGACCATACCACCTAATAAAACAAAAAGGGAAAAGGAAAGGGAAGGGTATTATGAAAAGCTGATGATCATTTAATATCACCAAATTTAAAAAATTCTTAAAACCCTAAAAATACAAGTTTTTCATCACTGGTTAGGTTTTATTTAAGATAAAATTTTCCTCTATTCAGATGATGAACTCACTGTTTAACTACATTGCCCAATACAAAATAAGGACAACAAGATTTTTTTTTCCTTCTGTCAAACTACCCCATTCTCCTATAAAGACAGGATGTGCATGGCAGGCTTAATACTTATCGTACCAGGGCAGATGAATTCTATACCCATCTGCTACTGATTCTACATGTAACCCTGGGCAAATTCCTTTACTTCACCTGGCCTTACTTCCCAATCTAAGGAACAACGGGACTATATCAGTGATTCCAAAACATCTCAAGAAAGCAAAGATCTCTTTTGTTATAAGTCCCAATCCATCCCCTCCCCAACGACAATGTGTTTACTCAATAATTAACTGAATGTTCTGCTATGTATATTCTCAACAACAAAAATAAGTAAAATTGTTTTTAAAAAACAATATGCTTTTTTAAAACTAGCGAGCGGCCATCTAAGATGCAGCAATGGTCCCAACCCTCCTAGAGCAAAGGAGAATGAAGAACACCAAAGATACAAGGAAAATATTAGCCCAAGAGACAGAAAGGGCCACATAAACCAAGACTTCATCAGCCTGAGACCAGAAGAACTAGATGGTGCCTGGCTACCATCAATGACCGCCCTGACAGGGAAAACTGTTAGTCCCTGATGGAGCAGGAGAAATGTGGGGTACAGAACTCAAATTCTAGTAAAAAAGACCAGACTTAATGGTTTGATTGAGACTGGAGGGACCCTGGAAGACATGGCTCCCGGACTCTGTTAGCCCAAAACTAAAACCATTCCTGAGGTCAACTCTTCAGACAAAGATTAGACTGGACTATGGGACATAAAATGATAGTCTTGAAGAGTGTGCTTCTTAGCTCAAGTAGATACATGAGACTAAATGGGCAGCTCCTGTCGGGAGGCAAAATTACAAGGCAGAGAGAGTCAGGAGTTGGTTGAACAGACATGGGAAATCAGGGTGGAAAGGAGGAGCGTGCTGTCAGACTATAGGGTGAGCAACAAGGGTCACATAACAATGTATGTATAAATTTTTGTATTAGAGACTAATCTGAATTGTAAACTTTCACTTAAAGCACAACAATAATAATAATAATAATAATGTGCTTTTTAAAAAAGGATTCACATTTTTGCTTAGATTCAAATCACAGAAAATAACCAGAATTACCATATGGAGGTGATGACATTTGATTTTTGTTGGAATAATGTTTTAATTATCCTGTGCTGTATTTTGGGGAGTAAATATGAAATCTGCCTCTAATCACTCAAGGAATATCCACTGCTAATTTCACAGACCCCAAGGACTGGTAATCACTGAAATAAATGATTTCAAATTTCTATATGTATACGAGTTTCTATATGTGCGCCACCATTTTTATTTCAAATGTGCCTAGATTATAGATTCTACTTGGAAAGGAATTGGCAAATATTTTAAATGTAAAAATAATCAAGTTATTTTAAAACTTAGACTGAAGTAATTTCTTTTTAACTCCTATAAGAACCAATAACGAGAGTTACCATATTAGACCATGTTTTAAAAACATTCAAAAGGGGAAAAAAGGCTTAACAAAATAAAAACCATGTTAAAAACGTAAGTATCAGTCTAGTGAGAAACTCTGTTTAATGCTTTTAGAACTATTTCTATTTTTTTCCTACAAGGTTCATCCACGTTGTCCATGAAGTCAATTCCGACTCACTGCAACACCATGTGTTACAGAGTAAAACTGCTTCATAGGGTTTTCTTGACAATAATCTTTATGAAAGCAGATCGTCAGGTCTTTTCTTCTGTGGTGCCACTGGGTAGGTTCAAACTGCCAAACTCTAGATTCGCAGTCAAGAACAAACTGTTTGTGCCACCTGGGGTCCTATCTTATTTTTTTTAATTTAATATACTGTTTTGCTGGTGCCATATATGCCAATGACAAAAATCAAGAGTAAAACTAGAGTATGTGGATTCAATATTGTGATAATTATATTTTTCTAGAAAATGCAAAGTAAAGGTGTGTTCTCCTTGTGACTCTTCTTTAAGTGTTCTAACTAGTGGTCCTGGACACCCATTAACTTACACCATTATCCCTTGACAGCATCTATGAAAACTGCAGGAATTTCAGGCATGGCACCAAGAAGAGAAACAAAACAAATTAAGCTTCAAATCAGTTAACTTTAATTTCAAACCCATTCAGACAGGTTCCATATTCAGATACAATGAATATGTTCATTAGAATCTTATGATAAAAGGACTAAACTTAAAAAGTATAAGGTCCTTCCTACCACTTTTGCTTCAACTGCCCTTGAGAACTACTTTACAAACATGAAATGTGAATAACTGCCATCAAACACACAAAAAGGAATCTACCACTTTCATATTCTCGGCAGAAAAAGGTAACCAATGCAACCCTGACATGAGAACAATGTCTGCTAAATAGGAGAGCTGGTCTGTCATTGCACCTAAAACAAAGCTGCTGCTGGGTTTGAAGGCTCAGGACCATAGTCTCGCTGGACAACTAGCAAGGTTGTGTCATCTGCATATTGCAGGTTGTTACTGAGTCGTCCTACAATCCTGATGCCGTTTTTTTCTTTGTACAGTCCAGCTCCTTGGATTATTTGCTCAGCATACAGATTGAATAAGTATGGTGAAAGAATACAACCCTGACGCACACCTTTCCTGGTTTTAAACCATGCAGTATCCCCTTGCCCTGTTCGAATGACTGCCTTTTAGTCTACGTAGAGGCTCCACATAAGCACAACTGGTATAACTTAGTTCATAAAGATAATGTTCTACGTCCTAGTTTCGTATGTAGGGTCTGGGGTCTTAAGAGCTCAGGTGCGGCCATCTAAGATACAACTATTGGTCTCTTCTCGTCTAGGGCAAAGGAAAGTAAAGGAAACCAAAGGCTCAAGGAAGAAATTAGCCCACGGGACTAATGACCCATGCAAATCACAGCCTCTTCCAGCCCAAGACAAAAAGAACTAGAGGTGCCTGGCAACCACCACTGACTGTTCTGACCAGGGACACAATAGAAGATCTCGGTTAGAATGGGAGAAAAACACATTAAAAAAACTCAAATTCATAAAAAAGTCCATGCTTACTGAACTGATAGAGACTAGAGGAACCCCGAAGGCCACTGGCCTAAGATACTCTTTTAACCTAGAACTGAAGCCACTCCCGGAGGTCATCTTTCAGCCAAATAATAGACTGGCCTATGAAATAAACAATAATATCCGTGAGGAATGTGTCCCTTTTAATAATCAACTATATGAGACCAAATGGTCAACATTTACCCAAAAGCAAAGATGAGAACGCAAGGAGGGGCAGGGAAACTGGATGGATGGAAACACATTGTGGGGACTGTAAGCAATGTCACGAAATAATATGTGTATGAACTGCTGAATGGGAATCTAATTTGCTGTGTAAACTTTCACCTAAAACACAAGAAAATATTCCAGAAAAGAATTTGCCTCTTTCATCCTTTATTTCCCACATGAAACTTCAACACTCTTCACATTCAAACATTTGCTTGCAAGAAGCTCAGAGGTATTTTGTTTATGTTTGTTTTTTGGGGGGGAGGAGTGGGGGGACGTAACAATATTAAAAGGTAAATGACGAACAAAGTGAATGAGTAAGCTGTGTTCTCTTTTCGCTTTTCCTCTCCCTTTTACTTACTTGCAGAAGCAAATCTGTGCTAGGGAGCTATCAGAAACATCAAAATTAATCCTTTCATATTGTTGATGTGTTGTGAGACTGTTAACCATTGTCACAGGACAACATTTGTAGTAACTGTTAAATGAGAAACTATTTTGTTCTGTAAGCCTTCATCTTAAGTGAGAATAACAGCACA